TTTTTTTATTTTTAAGATATATGTCATCTAATATTTACTAACAAAGAGAAATATAAGTATATTCTAAGTTTTTGTATTCTCAATACTACAAAATCTTTTATGCAAAATATAATAATTTTGTTTTAAATAAAAATTGGAGTTATTTATGCAGATTTAAAATTTAATACTTAATTTAATTCTTCCACAAATACTACTCGCAATGTCATTAAATAGGAGAAAGCTGTTGATACATACTGAAATATGTAAAATAATTACATTACTGTTTTCTAGTTATAGTTATAGAAAATGTATAGATAGAAATAAAAAATATATTAAAATTTTTAAAATTTATTGTACTTATAATGAAGTCTATTATACAGGGGGGATTAAACATTGCATCAAATTTTCAAATTCTTATCTCGGAAACGAAGCATTATATGAAAAAATTTTATTCTATATTTCTAACTTAGTTTTCCATGTTGAATAATTTCATGTCCAGTTATAGCATTCGTCTCGTATGTATAATTCACTCTAATCAATATCATTCACTCTAACTTATTATATTGACAAAAAAATATTAATTCTCTAAAAATATTTCTCAACTTTTGAAATCTTACCGATGCATAATATTGTAAAGATATAGTTGGAAGAATGGAGTAAACAGAAAGTGCCACTGGTACTTGACTTTTTAGTAAGATAAAGCATAACTTTTTTTGAAAGATTACGTCTTGATTGTACCACAGTGATTCATAAGCTGCTTGCGCAACATTGAAACTCTATAAGTAATATGTAAACTTTAGAGCAATGTAGCATCGAAATTGTTAACATGTTAATTGTTAATAATGTAATAATCAAAAATAAAGGTGAGGATAAATTAGTCATTCAGAAAAACGTAAAAAAAATTTCTCTTCTTTTTTTATATAGAAGAAGAGAAGTCTTCTTCTCTTTTTCCATGCATAGGCTTAAAAGCTTGTTCTTTCCTCTCTCTTCATATCTTTGTAATGCACATATAGGTGATGCACAGGCATATGAGGTCTATTTTTTAACGCCGATTCCGAACGATAAAATTTTAAAAATATTCTCGTAGTTTGCCAGATCATCCAGAGGAGATCAACGCGCGTATGACAATATTTTGATCCTATCGGGACTCGAAACTTGGGAGCATCTCTAGCATATTAGACCAATGCGCTGTCTACTATGCTACGCTCGTTCTTAAAAAAAAAATTGTATTTTCAGATTTTCAAGACTATAAAATTAAACATATTAGATATTGTTAATAGATAATTAATTTAATATTAAAAATTTTAAATACTAGCTTTTTTATCAAATTTTACTGTACATACTTACTACACACATTTTATATTTGAATATTTACTAATGTATTTAAATAACTACATTTGTTATGCTTATTTAATAACAAAAATTAATAATAATTAATATAGAAAAAAATTGATATGAAATTTTTTTAATATGCGCCATTCAGCGAAAAAAAATAACAAGTATATCTGATCTAAATTAGGCAATATGGCCAATAGTTTCCTCACTTAAATTATACCAAATTGATTATAAAATGTTATTAATATAACTTACCGCATCTATTAAGTGATCAGCTGGCAAAGCATATGTAAAAACTTCCATAAGACCGGCTGTACATAGAATTATGAATTGTACTTTCTCCGTTATCGTACTTCGCTAAATGTATCAATATATAATACTAAGATAAATAAATGTATGTGAGCATTTTCATATGTACAATAGTTGTTTTGAAAAAAAGATTCTATTGAAAAATAGAATTGCTCTTTCATCAGCAAAGAAAAATAACACATAATAAGCACTTACGCTTATAATTGTTAGACCCCCAATTACAACCGCCCATGTACAACATATTATTATACATAAGATTATTAAACGAACACTAATTATTACATCTTGAGCATATCTGAAAAAATTATTATTTATATAAGCTAAATATTTAACATTACTTAATAAACACAACACAATAGATAATGTACATAAAGAAAAATATAATGCTATTTATACAATGCTGAATATTCAAGAAATATATATATGAAGTGTATTAATTAATAAATTTTGTTATATAGTGATGTCTGTTAAATTTTATAACGCTGTCTTACTTTAATAGTTTGGTATGTTGCCGTATACATTCGATAATACCGCAAATGTCGGTGACTGTACGAAATTGTTGTGACAAAATGTCAAAACGTGCCGCAGTGAATAATATGAGAAGACCAAAAAAAATACTCAGACAAACAATGGAGAAGGTTTGCCAAAAGACAGAGGCTTGTTGTAGATATATAATAGGTTTAAATGCTCCTCGTTCTATGTCAAAAGGATATTTCGTATCTAATGGAAATATTTCATCGGTAACTAATGGCATAAGTGTTATTCCACTTGCGGTGAGAAAAACTGCAAATGTGGAACTTGCGAAAAATGTTGCATATTTATCAACGTATTGTTGATAGACCATTTTCTCGTGTAGTTTTCCGCATTTGAAATTATGCTCCATTTCCGAAATTAAATACTAGAATTTAATTCAATCTTTCAGCTAGAATACATGATTTATATTCTCTAAATAATCTAAATAAAGTTAAAAATGAAGTCAGATATATTGCATGTTGCATGTATTTTAAAGGTAATAATTTTTGTAAAAATTTTTCGAAATAAAAGAAAGTTTGGTAAAAGAAACTAATATTTAGTGTTAATGTTATTAAAGATAATTATTTAATTAATATTTAGATATAATTGATTAAAATATATCAAATATTGTTTATCAGAAATCGGTCTAATATCGCTTCATATTTCTTACAGGCATTTCTTACTTGCAATCGATCATGATGTAATGCACACATCGTTATTTGCAGTTGAATTTGGAGAAAGACACCCAGTAAGCACCATAATTTTGATATCTTTAGTAAATCGTAGTCATTGGAATAATAACAAGTATATATCATAGGCACAATCAATAGGATTATATTTATATGAGTCAAAGCGTGAAAAATTTTGAAACATATTACTTGAAATTTACTAGCGTTCTTTGGAAGTGGCCATGAAAAAGATAAAGCGACTATTATTTTCGTAAACTTAACAGCAACTTCCGGAGTTATTTTGCTCAGCATAATTAAGCTGACAAAAATATTCAACGATGTACAATATAATATATAATAATAATTTTGAAGTCTATTTTCATTTACAACACTTGCGTTGTTTCTAATAAAGTATTATAAACTTCTTTTCCAATTCAACCCGTACATATTTCCAACCCGTACATATTTAATGTATAATAGCATAATCAAATTACGGATATTGATTTATATACATGCTATAGTGTAGAATGAAATAAGCTATAATTTAGATGTAGAATATTACAGCCCATCTAAGTCTTCAACAAGTGCTGAAAATGTTATAACAGTTAATAATAGTTTCATGAAAAAATAACAGAATATCAGATATAACGTAGGAGGAATACAGGGAAGTTCTAATGTTTATAATAAATTATTACACACCATCACAATAAACTACTAAATTTTAAATATTTTATTTAATAGCAATTTTATTTAATAGCAAAATAACAAAGTTATCAATAGCAGAATATTTTCAGCAGTCAGTACATATTTCGTAGAGGTATTTATAATGTTCGTTGTTTTGATACGAACAAAATTAGAGATAGAGTAAGTTTTTTTATTGAAATTTAAAATAATCTTTTAAATTCAACTGTGTTAACATTTTTCAAGAATCCATTACAAGATACATAAAAGAAATTACTTTTCTTTTTGACAAGTACAATCAATTTATAAAATGGTAATAACAAATATAATTTATAAGAAAGATAATAAGAAAAATAAGTATATAAAATAAAAATTACGTTTATGATTTTATAACATTTCTAATATTTTTTATTAT